TAGCCCTCGGTGGGGCTCTCTCCAGTAGCTCCTCATCTCTCTGGAACTGGGGAGCCCAGAACTGGACAAAGTACTGCAGATGGGGCCTCACTAGGGCAGAGTAGATGGGGAGGAGAACCCCACTCAACTTGCTGGCCACACTCTTCTTGATGCTTCTTATATTTTCCCCTGTTCTGCAGTTGTGATAATTAGGTGAGTTAGCATCTGGCAAGGAGAACAAGAAGTGGTCTCGTTATTCAGGTGTCTCACTTTGTGGTGTATCGGGATGAGGGTGTTAGCATAAAAGAAAGCTGATTATAGAACATCATATCGTTACTGAAGTCTCTGTTTTTACACCGCCTTTGGTTTAGCAGCTGGTTGGGCTTTCTGTCGGGAAGATGTGTGTGTCGGGGGTGATAACCACCGCTGCTGAACGGCGCTGGGGCTGCTGGTGTGTCGGCGCCCGGCCGCACTTTCCTGGATTCGGGGTTTGGCGAGAGCGGTGCCGTCCGCAGAGCGAGCCCCTGATTTCTGCTCCTCTGCTTAAATGCACGCTGGTTTATACGGCGTATGTTTTCATGTGAAGAGTATGAAGAAATGAGTGTCCTTGGCTTTTTGAGCAGAGGTGGCCGCTGATGACACCTCTGCGTGTGAGCTCGGTGCCGTGAGAACTTCAGGCAAAGGAAATAAGCCATCCCGGGCAGCTTTGTGCGGGGTCTCTGTAGTCACAGTGTTCACATTTTGGCTCTCTGTAGTCTAGAAAACCTCCTTCCTAGCAAGATTACCAATTCCTGCCTGCTTTCTCCAGTATTTTCCCAGTTCCCCTCCTTCCCTTGGCTCGCTGGAGCCACATTTTTAGCCGGTTGAATAAAAAATGTGAGTTGATTTCTCCTTGAACGACCTAGGCAAGGCAGTTTTCTGTCGAAGGCTGAATATGTGTGGGCATACTATTTAAAAGTAGATACTGTGCTTTAGTTTCAGCTATTGTTTCAGCTGATGAAAAGCTCTGAAAAGAAAGATTACAGAAGAAAATAATTGTGACCTTGGTCCCTAGTTTAGAGCGGGTGGAGAAACTGCTTTTTATCAATAATCGTGTTTCAGCTGGGTTTTGGCAGAAAGAAGTACCAAAAGAGATTATAGCAAAGGGTATGGAAAGGGTCTGTAATTTTTCAGCAAATACTTCCCGTGCTGCTGTTGTAGCGCCGGGTGTTGCCCTTTGGCATCGTCCTTTTACAGCCCTTTCTTCTCATAGTGGGTATCTGTGAAAGTTACCTCTGCCCTTTGTACTGGGGTTAGATGTTTGTCTGCTGGTTAGAACTGGTGTGGCAACGTAAATCCGTTTTTAAAAGTAACAACTTCTAATCCTATTTTCAGTTTTGTAAAGCTCGAATTGGAGAACTCCACGCTTTCCTCTCTGACTTGGGATTTTTGGGGTGCGTGGTGCCACCGGGCTGGCAGCGTCGGTGCCACGGTGTGTGGGTGGCCCCTGCCCCCCCCTGCCGCCGCCAGCTGCGCTGGCATTAAAATCATGTTCCTCGCTCACAAAAGTATAAAACGAGACTCTAAATGTCGTCTCTCGAACATAATTTCAGTGCTATTATAAGCATTTATTCTTAAACAAGATGGGAGTGATGGAAGAAACTTCACAAAGTGTGATTGAAGTGAAGTTTTCCTGTTATCAGGAAAAACTGGGGTAGATTGCCTGCAGGTAACCTCCTGTGTTAGGCTTTGAAGTGGCGTGAGAGGAGGAGGAGTTTCACCTGGCTGTCTGGAAAGAATCTATTTAAACAAACAAAAAAAGCATCATTTCAAGAAGAGGTGTAGAACACGTTGGATCGGGACGCTCGGCGCGCCAGGGGAAGGAGGCAGCCCGCAGACCTTCCTGGGAGATGCCGTCGCTGAGTTAGCTCCTGTGCTCGGTGGCACCCGACAAAATCACCCGCTCTGCTTAATTAGGAGAGGTGATTGCTTTACAAGTCAGTTCTTTTTAGGGAGTGCGTTACAGATCCTGATTTTAAAAGTCCCATAGAAGCTGATACGTATAGCTTGGTGAAATGTCACCTGGCTGGGTAGTGAGCAAGATGATGATTCTTATTTCTAGGAATGCCATCCCGCTGAAGTTCAGCGCCTTCCACTGTGGTGAGGGAGGTGGAAGCTTTGCCTTCTGTGTGCTGTGCTGTGCTCTGGCTCAGCTGCTCTCTCTGCCGCTGCACGTCTCGGCAGCTGAAGCCTGAGCTGAGGGATGCTCTCCAGGCATGAATCCCTTTAAGCAAATGTTTATCTCTCTAATTTACCGACTGTTTATTCATCGAGCTGCTAGATAAGTGTGGTGGGTTGGTGCAGGAGTCCCGCTTGGTCAGCCTGGCTGCAGCGGAGTGCGGGAGACAGCCCGCGCTGAGCTCACCTGCGGACGGGCTGTGCTCTGTGGAGCTGCAGAGAATAATTCTCAAGTAAGGATGTGGTCATTTTTCATACGTACAGCTTAAAAACTTTGTGATTAAACATGAACGGAAGCTTTTGTTCTGCTTATGGTTTTCTGTAACTCGAGACGATAGAACTGCTAATCTAAAATGTATTTTAAAGACATTCTGTTGCATCTTAGTCTCAATTATGTAGAAAAATATGTGGATAGTGTAGGAAAGAATATATAGATGCAATGAGTGATGACGATGGAAAAACGTATCTATAATTGTAACACCAAATACTGAGTTCCCCCTGGTAGCTGAGCTTCAGGGGGAGCTGAGTGCATCCCCTGCTCATCCCTCCCTTGCCTGCCTGCCCCTGCTTCCCTGGACTGGGAGAGGCGGACTTCCAGGCGGAGGAGGAAGAGTGTGGAACACAGGGGTTTTGTTTTAGCAGTTCCATAATTTTTTAGCAGTTCCATAATCTTTTTAACTACTGAGATGCTCTATGGTCGGAGGATGTTGTCGCATTCCTGGGCCGAACACTTGCTGGCGGAAGAAAGCCCAGTTTGGGGCAGTTCCCAGCTGGAGGGTTTGAACGAGGCTGGACTGTGCAAAGTGGGTGCTTTAGAAAGATATCTGTGAAGCATTCAGGCCTGCTGTCTAATTTTCGTGGGTTTTGGTAATGACATTTAAAAAAAAAATAAAATTGCACTTTTATTGGTTTTACACGGCCTGCAATTACGTATGACCTTTCATTTGGTGTAACAGTCTATATCTGTTATATTTCTAAACATTGACTATTAAGCCAAAGGACTTTTCTGAAGTAAATCCATTGTAAATTCTGGAGCTAGCATTCGTATTGATTTATCTTTTGTAAACACAGTATGAATGCAGCACTTGGAAATTCAGAACATATTTTCCGAGGCCAAGCTGGGGAGACTGCTGTGTGGCAGAGAAGGATTTTGTTGTGCCTGTGTTTAACGCGAGCAGCCCACCTGTTCGGGACGGTAAATGGAATGATGAATAGCCCCAGTGAGCTTTCCCCTGGCGTGTGGTCTGCACCGTCAGCACAGATATTTTGGTGACTGAAGAGGATCCTGTGTAGTGAGAAGTTTAAACAGCTGTATCTCCTAATTACAGCTTCTATGTAAGGGCCAATTTTAAAAATCAAATAGTCTTCGTGTTTTAATATTGTTGGCTTCAGAAAAGTTGTTTGCTTCTGTGGTTGCTAATGGGTGGCAGTGACGGGGTGCTGAGTCTCGGTAGCGGGAGGTAGGAGACCAGTCGAAAAATTCGTTGTCTGCATCTTTGCCAAAGAGTATTTTGGAGTAACTGCTAATGCTCCCTCCGGTCAAGGACTGGACTGAGCTGGAGAGGCAGTGGGATGGAGCAGAGTTTGTAGTAGCATTACCAGCTAGAGCTGGGGTGGATGTGAAATAGCTTTTTCTCTCTGACACTTCTACTATGAAAAGGTGTTGTGGTTCTCCGCACCGTATCTAGTGCAGAGTGCTAGACTATGCCATTTAGGTTTTCTCTAGGGTTCTTTGCTATGTGCAAACTAATTTTGCAAAGTTCCTTCTCGAAAGAGATGTTGCAAGGTTTCAACAATTTTTGACTTTGGATGGGTGGGACTGTCCTATTTGGCTTATTCCACGTGTCGCTTCCTCCTGGATCCACTAATGTAAATAATATTTTCAGAGATATTTTGAATAAATCTTCTTTCAGGTAAGTGTTTATGCATCAGTTGAACTTCACTCTTTTCACTTCCACAGCTGAAGTGTGGACAGGGTTCTTCAAGTCTGCGTGTGTCCCGAGCTGTCTGCTAATTTGGGCTTTGTCTCTAGAATCATGTCTTGTCAGTCTGTGTAATTTACTGCAGGGTCGGAGGAGGTAACGCTGAAGTGATCAGATGCTGCGAAGGAAGTTGCTCATGCATTTTTTTTTTCCTTTCTTTTTCTTTTTAGGACTTAAATACTATCTATTCTTTCCTTCATGGACTGGACATACTCTCGCATTTCAGGGAACATCAGCTAAGGTAAAGTACCGTGGAGCTCGTTAGTGTTGCTTAGCACGACTGGTATCTGTGGCTGCATTTTTGTGGAGATGAGCAAAGCTTTTGTCTGCCCGCGCTTCCAGGTGGCGGAGCATTGGCCAAGTCCATTGCTGAGCTCAGTGGCTGCAATAACGTGGCGTGGAATCCAAACTAATTAGTTTTGCTAAGAACGAAGGCAGAGCTTACTCCCGCTTGTCTACAGAGGACTGTGTAGACAGTGCCCTGTCTTAACACTGGATTACAAAAGCTTTTGAATGCTTCAGACGTTCGGATGATCTCAGAATACATGAAATGGAAGGCCAACAAAGCACAAAAAGTGCGTTGGAAGTATTTTAGCTCCTTCAGTTCTGTTGCTATGGGTAATTCCAATGTGTGGGAGTGATTTAAACACTTAGAGAACATGCTGTATATTATCTATTTGGATAATGAAGAACACCGTAATAATTTGAATTTCATGGTTAAGCACATCCTTTGTTTAGAACAAAAAAAAAATAGTTGAATTTGAGGTCTTAGGGCCTTAAAGCGATTCTACTGAAAAGTGGTGATTAATGGCTTATGATCTTTGGGGATGCAAATTAAAATTAAACTTCTCCTCCTCCCTCAGAATAATGTCATCGAGTGCCCGCTATGAGAGGTACAAGGGCAACCAGGTTCTCTTTTGGTAAGTACGTGTGGCTCGCTGGAGTTCTTCAGTGGACGTGTGAGCAAAGCCCCTGCTGTGCACGCTGCAATGCATCGCTGGCTTTTTCAGCCATCACAAATGTAGGACTTCGCAAGGTTTGAGCTTGGCCAGCCTGGTGACAAGCTGTGGCAGGAGGCGGCTGTAGCAGTCGTAGGGTGCTGGCGTTCCAGAGGTGCTGGGGAACCGCCGGGGAGCGGGTGCCGTCGCCC